CCTGTGGATGGGCTTTGCCTGTGCTGAGCACAACAGGAGGAGGCGGGGGTCTCCAGGAGAACATTCTCTTGAGAGGGGCTCCCCTGGCTTGCCCAGGGCAGAATAATGGCTTCTCTCTCGCCCTTATCCTGCTCCAGCAAGGATACAAGCACCATTTCTGAGGCATCATCCTATATACACACTGACCTGAGATCCTTTGTTGCCTTTAAAAAACATCATTACTGTCTATTTACTGTCTATGAGAGAAAAATGCTTTGGAAAAAGAATTTTCTCTCAGCATTAAAATCCACAGAATATCATTTAGAATTAGGAGTTATGAGGCCCATATATTTAAAGACACCAGAATGCCCTGAGGGCAGGGACTTGGTGATGGGAAGACAGGACATTACTGTGACTTGGAAAGGAGCCCCCACCCCCGAGAGTCACCTCACTTGCAAAGGGGGTGGGAACTGGATAAGATGACTTCGGAGCTTCTTCCATTTCACCAATGCATGTTCCACATCCTCAGCTGGACTGAGAGCTTCTGCTCTTACCCTGTACTCTGCCCAGACAGAGCTGGAGAATCGACTGGTCCACTGAGCAGAGGCAGTGAGGGGGTCCCAATGGGGAGGCAGCCCAGCTGGGTTTATCCTCTCTGTTCTCTCTACAGCAGAGCCAACAGCAACCTTGAAAGGCTGTTGTACTGTAAGGGATTGCAGGACACCAGGGTTGGGCTAATGTTTTTCCTTGACTGGCCAGGACACTGCCTATTTGGGGATAGGAGCTGTGAAGTACCTAAAAGGAGTGTATTAGACAACTCGGGCAGGAAAATAAAGAAAAATCTGAATAAGATGTAGACATCTAGGGGCAGCTCCTCTTGCACCAAATATAGTTAAACATTTGGGGCATGTTTTCCATTAGATTTTTAAAATTTATTTATTTATTTTGGTTGAATAAGAGAGGCATTTATCCAAGTCCCCAAAGCAGGCTGGGGACAGGAGCTGTCTGTGATTCCTGCTGGCTGCTAGTGGACCTGGAGTGTGTCCAGGCCTGGCTTGGCTGCCAGTGGCCCTCAGAAGTATTTGACTCAGCCAGGGTTGGGGGGGTTCTCTTCTCATAGTGGCTGCTGCCAGGAAGGCAAGAGGGCCCCCCTTCTGCCCAGAGGGGTCTTCTTTGGGGTCACTTGGGGCACAGGGTCACACAGGGAAAGGTGAGGACCAAGTGCACTCTACACACATGGGCCAGTGGCATGGGGGAAGGATGGGGGTCGGGAGAGTGATTGCCAGTAAGGTAGCAAGTTCCTCTTTGCATACCTGGCCATATGCTGCTTTCTCAGGTTTCAGATCACGAGAACTAAAAACAGTAAAAACTCATGGAACCCAAATAAGGTCAGTATTTTAGTTTGTAGTATGCTACCAATGTCTATTTCCTGGTTTTGATCATTGTATTATGGTTACGTAAGGTATTAACATGGGGAGGAGCTGAGGGGATGGTACACAGGGACTCTCTGTACTATTTGATCACTTTGACATGCATCTAGGATTATTGCAAAATTAAAAATTAAAAAAAGAAAATCACCTGGGAATGTGAACCTGCGCTGTAAACTTTGGATTACCATGGTCTCCATTGTCCTTTACCAGATATTTGTGGCAGCCAGACCCTCGCCCAGGGGCCCATCCAGTCCTCACACAGCCCTGTGAGATAGGTGTCGTGTGGCCCTGGGCATGTTCCCTCCTCCTCTGGGCCTCGCCTCCCTGTCATCTCTCTATAGTGGAGCTAACAACAAATGTTATCATATTACCCTTGTTTTGAAATGAGGAAACAGAACCTCGCAGAGCTGAAATGACTTGGCCAAGTCACCCAGCTAAAAAGTAGCTGACGTTGGGTTTGAGTCCACATCTCCAACCTAGAACTTTTGACTACACTAGATTCCTCTGCTTGTTTTGACAAGGATTATTTGTAAAACCTTCTTGAGACTTCAAAACAGGGTCTGATCCCCACCCCATCATGTCAGGCACTTCTCCCACTGGGGGCAGGAGGATTGTCCTTAGGGTCTTCCTGTGGGCTGGGTACTGTGGTCAGAGGGGAGAAGGGTAGAGAAGCTTGTTCGGGAGGAAGGGCTGGCAGTGCAGTTCCTGAGGCCTCTGTTGCTACCCAGGCCCGTGGGCTACACACTCCATCCTGCTGGCTTGGTGGGTGGACCCGGAACACAATGCATCTCCCGTGGCATGTTCTGTGAGTGGCCTCTGTTGCTCTGAGCCCTGATAGGTAGAACAGCATCTCCTTAGTAGAAGGTTCTGCCCACATCCTCCATGTGGGTGAGAACCAAGCCTTTACAGTGGTCCGAACTCAGCCAGCCCTAAGGCAGGTCCCCTAGACCTGCTCAGGGGTCCAGCACAGAGGAAAGCTGGGACCCAGACCAAATCCATCATCGATTGAGCGGTCTGTCCTATCTTTCACCTGGATGTCTATGTTTCAGAGGACACCTACAGCTCTGAAGAGATTGTGGACCACCAGCCTGTCCACCTGAGGGTCATGGACACTGCGGATCTGGTAACATTAACCCCCATTAGCGCTGAGAGTCAGTGCAGCCTTCTGAGAAGTCCTGGCCCCAGAGTGGGGGCCTCAGATGGGAATATGTATCCCATTTAAGCTACAATTTGCTGTGTGACCCTAAATGAGGCTCTGACCTCTCTGGGCCTGAATCTCTTCATTTTTAAATGAGAAGAGATGGGATGGGGCCTGGGGAGACCTGATGATTGTGGGCACCAGCTGTGAGGTACTGTGCCCTGGGGCTTGATGCTTGTACACATGTGGAGACAGGTGCATACACATGTTCACAACGAGGCTACTCTTGGCCCAAGGTCCCCCAATACACATATGTCCTCCTGTATTCTCACTATCTCCTGCCAAGGCTGGATGCCAGTTATTCTCAGAAGCCAAAGGGGCACCATGAACCTGACCCAAAACCAGTGGTGCCCAGAGACAGCCAGGTCTCTGTAGGGGCCATGCTAGAATCTTGGCTCTGTGCCCCAGAGGCCAAGGTCTCCAAGTCTTTGGCTGGGTGGTAGGAGGGAGACTCATGAGACAATGTCTCCTTTCATACCAAGCCAAACCCACACTCAAGTGCCCCTTTGACAAAGGCTCTGCTGGGGAACAATATACAAAGACCCGGGGAGTGGGGAGGTGGGATGGGGTAGCTCAGGTGAAGGCCTTTATCTTGACCTCCTCTGACCCTGACCAGGGCTTCCCTCCTTTGCCCCAGGACACCCCCAGGAACTGTGAGCGCTACCTGAACTGGGCCCATGCCTTCCTGGTGGTGTATAGCATCGACAGCCGCCAGAGCTTTGAGGGTGGGGGCAGCTACCTGGAGCTGCTCGCTTTGCATGCGAAGGAGACACAGCGCAGCTACCCCACTCTGCTGCTGGGCAACAAGCTGGATATGACCCAGTACAGGTGAGCATGGCACTTTGTCCCCCATCTCCAGCGCTCCCTTCCCTCATTTGTGAAGGCCCGGTGTCATCTTCAGGGATTATTTGGCTGCCAAGAACAGTAATGCCCTTGAATTTAGGTAAAAGGGAGTGTGTTGCAAGGGTAGGTGGGTGTGGTCTTCCAGGCAGCCAAGGACAGGAAGGGCAGGGCATATGGACAACACAGGGGGCTGGACCCTGAATGTCAGCAGAGGCCACTCCTTCCATCCCCATGGGGCTCTGTGGACTTGCTCGGCCTCACCTTTTTTGCCTGAGTCTATATGACCTTCTGTTCCTGCTCACTACAGCTGGCTGGTCATTTAGTGCCCAATTCCAATTCTAGGAAGAGAAGGTTGGATTGGTTTCTTGGGTCAGATGTCAGCTCTGGTCCAACCAGCTCTCGCCTCACCCAAGCATGGCCCCCCAGGCTGACTCCCCCAGCTGGCCATTGCTGAGGGCAGGTTCTCTTACAAAGGGTTGGACTTGAATCAAAGGTCAGACTGGGCCAGAGGGCAAATTACCACCAAATACCACAGCCATATTTTGCTTGGCTAGCACGGTATTTTAGAAGACCTGAAACTGGAATGCTCTGAGGCAGGGCACGCTCTCTCGAGCTGACCACAGGCGTCACCACTCCCCATGGCTAACTCCACCCTTTGCACACATTCAAGTAGCCTGCCTGGCCCCTGAAGCGTTTGCGACTGTGGAGCCTCCACTTGATAAGTAATCCCACTGGCCTTCTCAAGCACTGACATTTGTCCTATGTGGCTAGTCCACCTGCCAGGTATGGCACCTTCCACCACCTTTCCACCTGTCCCTCCCTGCTCATGACCGGTCACGCTTGCGTCCCCAGGCCCTAAAGGCACATTGACTGATGGTAGCAAGGAGGGGACCCTTTGGTTAGAACAGGTTAGATGGACAGTGGGAAAAGGGAATACAATCTCATGAAGGGGGACTACTGTAGAAGCCTTCAAAGGCGGGCAAGCCCTCAGACCAGACAAAGTCCATCTCAGGAAGTGAGGAAAGTTGTGTGATCTTCAAGCCAAAAGGAATAACAGCCACCAGAGCCTAAAAAAGGGGTCAGAGCACTGGATTGTGATAAACCAGTTTTCAATANCTGTAGAGGGCAATGTCACTGGCCCTCATATGTGGGATCTGAACCGGGGACCTGTGGCGTCCCAAGCCAGCTCTTAACCAATGCGCCACTCGGCCTGCCCAGTCCAATGGTTTTTAGAATGTTTTCCTTGAGTAGCAGAATCCCTTCTTCCAAGGAGATCTTAAAGAGAACCATAGAGTGTTGAACAGAGAAAATGGAGGGGCCCCCCTGGTTAAGTCTATTGTGCAGGACAACTGACTCCAGCGCCCCCTAAGGGGTTTGTTCCTGAAAGCTTGGTTCACCACCCCTCGGTGCTACAGTGGAGGAAATAAGCCTAAGGAGCTGAGGCTTCTGAGCCAAGGTCACGCAGCAGGTCTGAGGGAAGCCCATTTGTTTAGCAGAGGTCAATGCCCATGGGAGTGGGACACAGGATGTGATTGTGTGCTGGTGAGGGGTGGAGTGGGGGAGGTGTTGGGAGACGTCAGAACATGAGTCAGATGGAGTGGGGAACTAAAGACAGTGGGGAGATGGGGGAGCCAGAAAGGAAAGGCACACAAGCAAGGGTGCCTGGGAAGGGAAAACAGGGATTCCCAAGGATGGTACCTCAAAAGACAGGTTCTGCCTAGCTCAAATACTGCATGGGGCATACATATACTAGCAATTATTTTCTGTCTATCTGAAATTGAAATTTAACTGGCCACCCTGTATTTTATCTGGCAACCTGCCTCCTGTCTTCCTTCCTCCCTGCCCCCCAATTCATACTCTTCATGCAGGGTCCCACCAGAGGAGCCTATTACAGTGGTGGTTTGAGCTCCCCGGTTGAGTAATTTTGGAGCTCTGACATGGTGGTGGAATGTGTGGTCAGACCGTCTGGGGGATAGCAGCACCACAATGGTTAGTCACCCCACTCGGAAAGCCTGTGTGCTGGAGAGATGACCGGATACTCTCCCCTCAGCCATTCTGGGAGGCCAGTGCCACTCCTTGAGGGTTCTGTCCCACTGACTAAACATTCCGACCACTATCCCATGGCTGGTTCCAGCAACAGCAGGGACTCTGGAACCAGAGCCTTTCCTTCTGTGGAGAAAGGTCTGATCATCCAAGGGCAGAGTTAGCCCTCAGGAGATGGAAAACCACNCAGGCCCTCCTCCTCCCACCTCGAGCTTGGTGCATGTTGTCCCTTGGTCTGGAAAGCTCCCACAACCTGAAGGCCCTGAAGGCCCCGGATCCCAGCTCTGTGCTTCTACAATACGCATATATATATATATCCTACAATCACCATCTCTCACCCTGAACTATAATCATCTCCCCACCAAACTGTAAAGTGCACAAGGCTGGGGCCGAATCTATCCTAGGCCACTACTGTGGCTCCTCATCTCAGCACAGAGCCTGGCACAGAGCAGGTGCTCAGCCTCCTATCTGTGGAATGAATGATGACGGGTCCATAGCAGTTCATAATGACCAGTTCTCAATGTGAACTATGTGGGGTATTTCTTTTTGCCTTTATAGCAGAATTGTGAGAAAGATTCATAGATGATACAAAATATGGCACAGAAGAAAGAGCCCAGAGGTTAGGCCAACCCTCCCATGGATCCTCAATGACCTTATTCTATGCAACGGGAATAAGTAACTGGTGTTTGCCCCACCTTATGGAGCTGTCTTGAGAATCAAACTGAGAGAATGTGAGGTGCTTTTAAAATTATAAAATATCATACAGATTTGAGGAGAGGATTTCATTGTTTCAAAGTTACTGATAGTGATGACTGATGTGTATATAGTAATTGTTGAATGAATGAATGGGGATTAGTGAACCAAGCATTTATTGAGTGATTGCTGAGATCAGACACTGCCAGTTACTTGGGGAAACAGAGTTAAGTCAAATGTGATCCCTGCCCTCAAGGAGCTCCCAAACATTAGTCCTGGCATCATCTAGACAGTTTCACCAAATGCCACTGCCCAGGTCCCACCCCAGACCATTTGTGTCAGAATGTCCAAGGCAAGGCACAGCATTCCGTATTTTTAATATTCCTTCTCAAATGATTCTGTTACACATCCAGGGTTAAGGAGTATTGTCATTATAAAAATGTTAAAATTACCCCAGGAGCCGCTACGGATCTCAGGTCTCTACCTGAGCCCTGCATTTGACCTTAGAGCAGGGCAAGGCTCTCCCCTTTATCAGCATCCCTAACTCGGCAATAGTCCCCACTGAGCACTCCCCACAATCCTAGGAGGAAGGAATTGGTTATTATCACCATTCATAGGAGGAGAAACTGGTTCGGAGGTGTTGAATATATTGCCCTGCCAGTGAGGGGCAGAGCTGGGATTTGAACCCAGGCCTGTGCAACTCCAGAGCCAGAGACCCTGACCTCAGACATACCAGCATCTGTCCTGCTCACTGGCCAGGGGCAGGGGGTGGTAACTGGGGACAGTTGCTAGTTTTTCAACAGCTTTGGGTTCTCAAAGGACCCTGAAGGCTGCATTTTGCTGTCTTAAAGGGTGGACAGCCAAGGCCCTTAGGTGATTTCTCTTGGGAGGGCAGGGCCCCCACCCTCCAGAGGCCACCCCCAGATCAGCTCCTCACCTGTTTCCTCTGATGCTCCTTTCCAGGAGGACGATGCTTATCACGACCACCACGCCCACCAAGACAAAAATGGAAATATTCCAAGGAGATGCTGGGGAGGGACACACAGGACAGAGCCTGAGAAGAAGCTGGGTGCCCCNAGCTCTTAACCAACTGAGCCACTTGGCCAGCCCACAAATTGTCTTTCTTAATTCTCTTAACAACCCTGAGAGTCAATGTCATTATCCTATTGTACTGATGAGAAAACTGAGCCTTGAAGAGATGATGATGACCTAGGTCACTGACCTAGTAAGTGGGGGGCTGGGTGTAGGCCCAGGCCTGCCTGACTTGGATGCATGTTCCTGACCCCACCTCACCCTGCTTCTCCACCAGGCAGGTCACGGAGGCAGAAGGCGCAGCCTTGGCAGGCAGGTTTGGGTGCCTGTTTTTCGAGGTCTCTGCCTGCCTGGACTTTGAGAACGTGCAGCATGTCTTCCATGAGGCAGTACGGGAGGCACGGCGGGAGCTGGAGAAGAACTCCCCGGCCCGGCCGCTTTTCATCTCCGAAGAGCGGGCTCTGCCCCACCAGGCCCCACTCACCGCCCGTCATGGGCTGGCCAGCTGCACCTTCAATACACTTTCTACCGTCAGCCTGAAGGAGATGCCTACTGTAGCCCAAGCCAAGCTGGTCACTGTGAAGTCATCCCGGGCCCAGAGCAAGCGCAAGGCTCCTACCCTGACCCTGTTGAAAGGCTTCAAGATCTTCTGAGAGTCCGCACGGAGGATCCCAGGGCTGGAGGCTGGGCAGGGCTGCAGGTTGGTGGCTGACGTCTCGCCACCGGCTTTCCCTCTGATAGAACCATAGCCCGTGCCCTCTAGTGGACACCTGACCCCTGCTCCTGCACCAAGCAGTGTCAGACACCCAGTTCACTGTGTGAGCTGGAGGGACAGGCAGGAATGCTGCTCCTATTCCCTCCAGGGCCTTGGTTTCCATGGTAGCCACGGCATTCCCTGACCTTGAAGGGAATTAGCCACGGGGAGAACCCAGACACCTGGGTCAGCCTTAACCTGGAGGAAATTGCAGTGTCCATTGTGGTGCCACCCCTTTCTGCTCCAGCTGCAGCCAAGCCAGATGTGGCCCCTAGTGGACAGCTCTGGGTGGACAGTTCCAGGAGGCCCTGCATAAGTGTAGGCCTGAGAACATCCTGCAGGAGAGACAGCCCTGAGATCCTTGTACCACCTGGTAGATGGGAAGGGAGGGCAGCTGCAGGTTTTGGAGGGCTAGAGCCTGGCCCTCCCATTGTCTTCTGGCCTCAGAGAAGCTCCGGGCCACAAACCCCACAGTTTATCCAAGTAATATCCAATTTAAATAATCCTATGGGACAGCCTGTAAGAAGCGAAGTCACAGGAAGGGCTATTTCTAGTCCTTTGCCTCTCAAGGAGAGTAGAAGGGAGGGGCTGTGAGTCGTCCAGTGTAGGGGGCCTCTAGTGTTTTTCATCAGAAGCCAGGGTCCCTTTATTATCTCACCTTAAATTACAGACTCTGTCCACAGATCTTTAGGACCAGCCTCCTCAAGTGTAATGATTCAAAGCCATAGAACAAAGTCGTTCTCTCCAGTGACAATGACCCAGGATTCCAGGGAGCCCACAACGGGCAGTATCAGACATCCAGTGGGCACTAGCAGCCTGTTCCAGACTCATAGGGAGAAACACAGTATACCAGTTTGGAGGCAGGACCCAGTACCCTTGGNCAGCTGGCTGGTCATTTAGTGCCCAATTCCAATTCTAGGAAGAGAAGGTTGGATTGGTTTCTTGGGTCAGATGTCAGCTCTGGTCCAACCAGCTCTCGCCTCACCCAAGCATGGTCCCCCAGGCTGACTCCCCCAGCTGGCCATTGCTGAGGGCAGGTTCTCTTACAAAGGGTTGGACTTGAATCAAAGGTCAGACTGGGCCAGAGGGCAAATTACCACCAAATACCACAGCCATATTTTGCTTGGCTAGCACGGTATTTTAGAAGACCTGAAACTGGAATGCTCTGAGGCAGGGCACGCTCTCTCGAGCTGACCACAGGCGTCACCACTCCCCATGGCTAACTCCACCCTTTGCACACATTCAAGTAGCCTGCCTGGCCCCTGACGCGTTTGCGACTGTGGAGCCTCCACTTGATAAGTAATCCCACTGGCCTTCTCAAGCACTGACATTTGTCCTATGTGGCTAGTCCACCTGCCAGGTATGGCACCTTCCACCACCTTTCCACCTGTCCCTCCCTGCTCATGACCGGTCACGCTTGCGTCCCCAGGCCCTAAAGGCACATTGACTGATGGTAGCAAGGAGGGGACCCTTTGGTTAGAACAGGTTAGATGGACAGTGGGAAAAGGGAATACAATCTCATGAAGGGGGACCACTGTAGAAGCCTTCAAAGGCGGGCAAGCCCTCAGACCAGACAAAGTCCATCTCAGGAAGTGAGGAAAGTTGTGTGATCTTCAAGCCAAAAGGAATAACAGCCACCAGAGCCTAAAAAAGGGGTCAGAGCACTGGATTGTGATAAACCAGTTTTCAATACGAGGGAAAAAACTAGACCATTCTTTTGATCCCAATCTTTGCCAAAGGGATTATCTAAAAATGGTTTGGGAGCAAATAACAAAGAGTATGGGCTCAAATGAAGCAGCATCAGTTCCCTAAGAACAAGTCGCGATGATTTATCCCCATATCCTTCTTTGGTCAGGTTCCAAGGTTAGTGGATCAGGATTCAACTGGCACAGAAAATCTAACTTTTAGCTGAGCATTCGTCAGTGTCCCCCATGATTGTCTTGTAGCTAAAGGTTAAAATGTGGTTTAGAGCAGTGGTTCCCAAACCACTGATAAAATTTTCACCAGACTGCCACAAAAGAAGAAAAAAAGATAATGTCACATGCTTCTGTCACCCATTCACCCACGTGCATGCATGCATGGGGTCCTTGTTTCTGAAAGTTTATTATTCAAGCTCCACAATGACCAAGTTCGGATTCAAGTTTATCATAAAAGTAAATAATACTAAATATTGTTTCAAAAGGCACTCCTCAAGCAGTGGTGAGCTTACAGAGACAGTACACCAGCCCTGGGTGGGAAGGGGTTAGGTGCTCTGACCCTGACCCTTTTTGTCCCAGTCATGCTCTCTGTCTGGTTCTCCCCTGGGCATCCAGCCCCCTGCTCCTACCAAATGAACCTTGGCTCAGAAACCTTTTCCAACCAGTACCTATCCTAGTGTCCCATCTCATGGGCTGTGCCATTGTCCTCAGTTTGGTGGGG